TCAATAATTATAGATGGGCAATAAAAACTGAAAAATCTTCATTATGAAATCATCTCCGATGCTCTGTTACGTGATCTCTCTTGGGCTCAAATATTCTTAGTAATTTTTTCTCCTACAACCGCAAGACATGTTCTTCCCTTAGAATGACAGACTAAATTTCTCAAACGTGTAAAACAACAGCTAATGCAATGCATTTTAAATTGTGTCGTATAAGTTTCCAGACGTTATATTGGAAGATGTAAAAATTCTGAACTGAATGCTAGAAAACATTCCCAGAAGTTCTTCTACCTTAAAGAAACGAATTGAATTGAATTTCGAGTTGTTGCTAAGCATCAGAACTTTGCAACCTTTTTTAAGGACTTATTAGTAATAATTATGTTATGGGTATGTTCTGTAGTCTGGTAACGAAACATAAAAACAAAGCTAGAATAAGATTGCTGAAACAAGAGGATGGGTAGATGTTGGGGGTAGAAATCAAGAAGCATCTTGTAAATAATTAGTCGAGGTATTGTCTCACAAGCAAGTTAAGGTCGGCTCAGAAAGAAGCTTGAAAAAAAATTGCCTCATAATTCACAAAAGCATCCAACGAAGATGTCATTCAGAGATAAAAGTCCCGCTGCCAGTGTTAAATTGTATGAATAAGAAGCTGGCAGACCCTTTCCGCGTCCTTATGCACGGTACAAGCTTTCAATATTGTGCGATATTAATCTTTTGCAGGGCTAGTCAACATGGAAAAGGTACAATCAACGAATGTAAAAAGCAGTCTTAACAGGTTCATCGGTTTCAAACTCTGTTAATGGAGAAAGAAACTGCAGTGTAACACTACTAAAACTCTTATTTCCTCTCACTTTGGAAGTCACACTTTTGTGCATTTAATGAATATGCTAATTTCAAATTATGTCACCCAATGCCACTTCTATTTTCTTTCTTTTATTCATTCCTGTCTCCCTCCTTTCATGCTTTCGCCATTGCAATCTCTGATTTTGTATATCGTTATTTTCTGTGCTACGTAGCCCGAGCTACTGACAGACTCGTTAACTAAACCATAAATAAATAATCATTATTTATCAATTTATTTATTGTCAAGTTTTTATTTTAAATATTTATTTGTTGATTACTATTTTGTTCTTATTTACGTACTATCTTTCTTCTTTTATTTTCTTATTCGTATTACTACTACTACTTCTTCTGACATTCCACGAAGTTGGACTTATCATGGAATCATGATAAACGTTGACTAAAATATTAAATGAAACTGATATGTAAGCTGTAACTTATCGCATGGCTGACCTAGAAACATTTCAATCCGGTCCCATGTTGTTATCTTTACATGGACACCCTTGACGTAATATCTTTTGAATATTAATTTAAAGTATGGAAGGATGTACTTAATTAATGCGAAACATGTTCGATAATGATGCCACGAAATTTTAAATTCTGGTAGGAGACAGCACATAACAAGTTTTCACTTGGAATAAGAGACCTCAGTTGTGATCCTCAGATAGCGATAATTACCTTAGGATGGTATGATCTTCTAAGTACACAAACGCCTTTAACTTGCGTGAAGGACAAATTAGACATACGTCTCACTCCTTTTTTAAGCAATATGTTTTCTTAATGTATTATTATTATTATATGATTATTGTATTTACTCTATTTTTGTGCTGTATCTGTAATTGGCCGTCTGGCTGTTGATGCAGTACTCTAATAAAAAGAATTGAATTGAATTATTATTATCCTCATATATTGTTTCTTCATTCATATTATTTAAGTTCTGAAAATTTTTATATATAGTGAGATTAATGGCTGTATGGAACTTCATTAGATTAGTTCAATTCATTTATTATTTACAATTACTTTGGCAGTACATATTTGCTTCAAAACCATGTACTTGCAAACTGAGCGCAAATGTCCCTATTTGTGTTTTATATCCAATAAAACATAATCTCCTCGGCTGAACACATGTTATGGACGTCTACAATCCATCATAGTAAATTCCGTTTGTCATCGAATTGTTTTAGTCCTTCCGCCGGCATGAATTGATAGCAGCAGTAAAACGTTTGTTTTAATCTCTGAATTCTTCCCATGTGCGGAATGCAATTAATTTTACGTCCTTTTGTGACTGGGCTTAGAATCCCGACGACATGGTTTAACTGCTGTGTTTTATGGGACATTCCAAACTCTTTGTTAGAGAAATATAGGCGATGGAGTTAGAATAATAGAAAGGATAAATTGGTGTAAGAGGAAGAAGATAAGAATGAAACATGAAGACGAAATACGGTGAAGGAAATTTTCTTATACCGCGACAAAAAGAAGACTGAAGAAACTCATGAATTCCAACCCCAGATTTTCAAGAGGATATTATTCTTTCAAGTAGACCTTCCAAGATTTATTCCGGAATACTGCGTTTCATGTAAGGAATGCGCGTCTCCCTGGAAATATGAAATGATAAATGAAACGAAATTATGTGCATTTATTCCTCTATACATACCTGTCTGATGCCAATAAACATCAAACGATGCCTAATTTTGAATAAGAGCGCTACAATTACATTACAAATCAGATACAGTTAGGTTATTAAAAACAAACGCAAATACAAAAAAAATTCCAAACAAGTCATTACCTCGCATAATTATGCAGCTTGTTAAAAAGCAGGTTTTGAGAATGTTATCTGATGAACTGGCCCAGGACAAAGTTAAACGACAGCCATGTGTCTTTCAGTAACAGAAAAGATTGCTTCAGTACACGTCAACTGATCGGGGAAATTTCTTAGCCAAGAGTTAAGGGATTACAATGCACAAACAATGAAAATGTAGGCCTGTTTATGATTAGATATTTAAGAAGAAGAAAGACTAAAGGAAATTTACAGACTTACTTAAAATATACTAAAATTAATTTAAATCTGAGTCAAACCACTTAAGAAATATTATAATACCGGTGGGGTTTTTTTTTTTTGGGGGGGGGGATTGGCAATACATACGCCTATATGTTGAGTGTGAATATCCTGTAAGTTGATTCCCATTAGATTCGTAGATTCTCTTTCGTAAGCGCTTATAATTCTTCTAAATTCATTCATAGCTATAGCTGAGAATAATGAAATATCGACACAGGCCAACGTCAAGGGAAGAAACTAGTTCTTGAAAATTAAGTAATAATATATCCAGTGATTTAATAGTGGGCTGATTGTTGTATCTTAAGTTCAATTCGTTACGTTGCATATTCAGCCAGCACATTTCCACGAAGCGTGGGTTGGACACTACATATCCGACCTGAAGCGAGATGAATAAAAAATCACATATAAATTTTTGTTCATTATAAACCAAAGGGACTACGAAATTGTGATTAGGCTTCATCAGATTAAATGCTGTTTGCGTGAGGTGCTCTCATGTTAACACCCTCGAATATTAGAGAATGCGGAACAAATTAATGGTGCGTGAAAGAAATGAGGAGGCGACAAAAGTTAAGACATTATATTTTCTGTGTGTGCGTGTATGCATGTAGTGAAGAAGTGTTGTTTTCTTTGCGGTACGGACTGCATGTTTTAATATTTTTAGACGAGCTTCTGCTTAAAATGGTTAATATTATCCTTATCTTCTTCTTCTTCTTCTTCTTTGTGTGCTGTTACGTACTTTCCTGAAAGTAAGAAAATCCATATTCAAAGTAGGTAACTAATTCAGTAACTTTTGCGTCTGTATTTTTAGTGTGATATTTGTAATGCCTTCTAATAAATGACGAAGGCGTCTTTGTAAAGTGATGTTGCTACACTTTCACCTTACGTCAACGTAATTTGGATATGGCGGTTAACTGTTTCCTTTGTCATTTTGAAGCGTTATGAAGTAACCACCCATGTGTGAAGGAGTGAGTCCAGCAGAACCATTTAATGGTGGCATGTCGAAATCACCTTTCTGTATGGCCACACTACAAAAAATCCTTATCCCAAAATACAGCTTACTGGCTGTGTCAAGGGCGGTCGTATGTTACCTGAAAGATAAACGATGAAGGATAAATTAAAAATGTATTGTTATCAGATGATATAACAAGTCTTGAAGTACAGTAACAGCAAAACAATATCTCCATACTGTGTGTCACGCACACATATCCTGGCTGAACATGTGTCTTAATTCAGAACATGCATTTAAAGAAATGTAAATCAGTTGGTGTAGAAATTCTATACCCTGTGACATGCGTATGTGAAATAGCTTTCAGCTTGGTGTGGGACTAGACCAGACATCAAAGAAGATATTTAAATTGCATTGGCATGGAATGTTTAATACTGAATCCGGTGATATTTTCTTCATAACTGAGAGTATTAAATAGTCTCGTTTTCTTCTGTAACAATAAGCACCTAATTATTTTAAATTTACGTAAGATTTATGGTACTGTAGGTCTATTCGAATGTTGTGCATCACTTGAAAAGCTGTCTTCAGCTACTTCGCCCTCGCCTCTTAACAGTGGCCACGGGAAAAAAAGTTGTAACTTCTTAAGGACAAAGCCAGACAATATTATTTTTCCCCTTGTATAATCTGTTGTTTGTAACCATATCCTGAAGCTTCTGCTTCCAAGGAGAGTCTATGCAAAATGGAACGGAGTGGAATGTTTATACATTACAGGACTGTACTAATACTTTTTGATCATAACCAACCCCTATTCACTACTCATCAACCTCTCCTGGATTGTTTCTCTGTTTTGAAAAAAGATTGGTATTCATATCCAAATGTATACATCGACTTCACAGTAAGTGTATAATTTGAAAGCTATTATATATTTCTGTGTAGCCTGTGAGGCACTAACGAAAATAAAATAGTACACATTTGTTGAATATTCAGTGCACAAACACGGGTAAACAGATATTATTCCAAAATGACTTCTATAAATGAAGTGTACCAAGACTACGCATTATTGTAATCAGTATATATTTTCATGATAATAGCGCTTTTCTGTACTAAGTTTGTGAGAAAGTTTGAACATAATGACCATGGGACTGGTGGTTCCTGCTGTAGGGTGCAGAAAGGAAGACACGTGATGAAGAAAGACGAGCTGCTAAGCGTAAGATGACGGCTACTGGACGAAAGAAGATAGATGAGTTGTATCACCCACCAACAGAAAGGTCTGAATTTTACTCCATGAGTGACCTCACGAAACCTCCTGTCCTCTTCACCCCTGCAGAGGACATTGACAAGGTAAGCTGGGTGCGTCTCATTTGCCAGCATTATATTATTTATCAATTTTATCTTATATTGATGATAAATTGTTATTAGTGCTACTTTGTTTTTTGTTTGCATTATTAATACCTGAGAGATGCACAAAAACTGGCCAAATGAATTTTCAATTGCAAGACTGGCACACAAATGTATCAAAACATGATACATAATTCTGTCAAAGCCTTAAGATTCGTAGTTTAATAATCTTGCCACTTTGTTCACCACAAATCCCACATGGACTGCCCTGGGCACAAACCTGGGCATCTGTAAGAAACTGGTGACTAACTACAGGATCTATGGCATGACCTAGTATGGTTAACGTATTCATCAACGAATAAAGTTTATGAAAAAGAATCCAAGCTATAACTTTAACAACATAAAATAAACGCACATAGGGGTGATAAAGTCTGTTAGTCCAACTGTCTGTACACGTGTTTCAAATAGAAAACTGTTCACCAGATTTTTATAAAATTTGGTATGTTACCTTTCCAGCACTGTTAAAAGAACGGTTTATTGTAATTTCAAGGACAATTATAACATATATATGTTATGGTAGACATGAATAATTCAGTTATTATCTGGTGATTATACAAAATCACCTTCAGGGAATTATACATAATCATGGGTTATTATTCCTAATTGTAAGTTAATCACTATTACCCTAACATATAGATTATAATGCAAAGTAAAGGTAGCATTCACTGACCAGTATAGTTTCTTGGTAGAAATAATGGCTACCCTTAAATGGCTATAAAACTTTCTTTTTCTTCTTCTTTATTACGCCGTCTCCTTTACAAGAGGTTGGCGACATATTATGAACAGGATCCTTCCATCCTTTTCTCAGACTGGGACCTGTTCATATATGTTTTTTAGGTAGGTGATACAGAAGTGGTTTGCCATTGCCTTCTTCTGGTGTGAATGGAGTAATTGTTAGGATGCCACCGAGAAACCGGGGAAGCCCCGGAGGAAAACTCCGTGTTGCCTAGACCACGGCCTTGCCCAACACAAGTTATAAATTCGGGCACCCCAGGATTACAAGGCCAGCGTTCTAACCGCTAGACCACCGTGGCGGTACTATAAGACTTTAAAATGACTAAATTGGAAAGACAATTTTACTGTAATTTTAAACAGGAATTCATTCGTGAATTAAAAACAGATTTGGAACAAATTTAATTAAATTGTGGGCAATAGTCTCCTTATAAAGAATTATTTAAGAATCAGTACATTTTGCTTTGCTGAGTGATATTCAGTAATTATTTATTCTGTTACTTTTATGAATGTATGAGCTGTGTATCGAGCGATTATTTCTGTAATTTACAAAGAAACTTGTAAACATTAAAAAAACTTGAATTTTTTTCTTTTTCATTTTCACAAGTACAGTGCAGTAGAACTCATATAGCCTTCCGTCCGTAAAGATGGTTTTGTGGACCTCGTGCGTTTATTGTAAGCCCTCTGCTGCACCATTTTCATTTACTGTATCACGTTGTTATCAGACATAACCAATTTTAATTTCCTTTACACAGTGAAATCTAGTACATTAAGCATTACAGGAAATATACGTGTTTGTTGTATTCCGCTGCATCGGATATTGCAGGAGGATCACATGTTCTATACCCAACAAAGATGCGCTCTGGCCGGGACTGCGAATTGTATTATATTGAGGCCTGTAGTGCATAACAGTGTAAATAAATTGATTTTGCTGTCGGCATGGACATGGATCCAATTTACAAAACAATGGAACTTATTCTCTCATTTGGTGTGCTGAAATTATCGTCATCTCTTCAAAACCGAGCAGTAGCTGCTTTAACAATCAATAAGTTTAATTTTATACTTGTTTCATATGATTATAGGTGTAAACAGGGACTACGTCCTTAAACAGCATTAACAAATTGACCTTTGTAATCGTGTAGTGTGGTGTTCTCTTTTCAGTACAGACTGAATTATTATTTAGGTGATCTTCAGCTTTAAAGAGTAAAAAGGGCTGATAAAACACATGTGAGATATAGAATTAGATGGAAACATAATGGATCTTAGAGAAGTAGAATTTGAGGTTACGGATTGGGTTCATCACACTCAGAACAGGATCCAGTGATAGATTCTTGTGAACACAACAATCCTTCAACTTGCATAAACGGCAGCGAATTTCTTGTCTAGCCGAGTAACTGGTTATATATCGAAACAGAATTTGCTCCTTGGAGGTAGTTTATTAATAAGTTAAGGGGCTGAGAAATTTCATCAGAAAAATATATTGAAAAAAGTCGTAAATCAATAAATACAAAATCTTTCACATAAAGAATTTCCGCGGATAAATATTTAATTAAATATGCCTATTGTGGAAAATTAAGTTTGATCTTCAATAAAACTGACATCAGGATTGTTGTTTTAATTCAAAATAATATTATAAGAGCTCTAAATACAAAATTTAGTGAAAATCTGTTCACAGAGGTTACAACTGTTCATGTCTGATTAGTAGGTAACAGCAGGAAGTACAGAAGCAAATGTTCAATATTGACTGTTAGGGTCACGCAGTGTAAACAACGTAGTCTAAAAGAAAGGTTGTTATTCTTTGTTGCAGTTGACTTCAATGGAGCTGCAGGGATTCTATGGTCATGAAACAGACAGCTCAAGGTGGGTAATGTTTGAGTTTTATTAATACCCACGAAGCTTTGCTTTTTGTGGTGCCTTTTTGCATGCAATTCTGTGTGCTCATGTTTTTGAATAAACCCTCCTCCTATTATTTTGCTCAAAACTGTCTAAATTTGAATAGGCATGAACTGGCACGAGCTCAATTAAAGATATGATACAGTTTCAAAATAAATTTGTTTTTTGCACAAAAAATTACACGTATACTTAAATTTATTTACATAATCTTCCAGATCCTTTGAACAGACAGTACTGTTGTGTGAGTGTTATCATTTGTGGCTTGTTATTTTATTTTGAGATAAACAGGTAGAGAGTAAAATTATTCAAAATTACAAGTGCGTCTGTGGTGTAACAACAGATACTATTGATATTTTATTCAGAATATGCTTATTCACCTATTCACGAGGCAAATAGTGCACTAAAATATTTTATTCTGAAATACATTAAACAAAGAAGAGCCATGAACAATGATTTACTTGACACAGTTTCTACGATTATTTTATGAATCTGTGTCTATTAAATTTTTTAGTCTATGAAACTCGGGAGTTTTTGTGGTTAAGAAGGAAACTAGAATTAAAATTGAATAGTTAAGAGAATGAAATTTTGAGAAAGATCATGTATATTTTATTTACGAATGTTGTTATTACTTGTAATTTGATTGTCTTGGATTAATTTAAATTATAATTGCGTATATTTAAATACAAAGGGATAAATTTTGTGGATTTTTAAAATTAAGCAAAACCTATAAGCCTCAAAAATATTTGTTTAGTTGGGCAAGCCCTGAAAGTATCGTGTGGCATGTTAAAAACCACCGGTGAAGGGGCCAGAGGTTGTTGGAGGGGACATTTTCTAGACCCTAATTTGCCTGTAAAATAGTTAGTTTATCTAATTTCAATTCTTCTCATTTTGGTGATCAGCCTGTCGAATGGGGAGGCAAGTTCTGGGTCTCAGCATGGGCTTGGGAAGCAGGGATTGCCTTTCCTCCTGCATTCGAGCAAACCGAGCACCACGCCGACTCTCAAGTTCCACAACCACTTTCCCCCGGACACACCTTGGTAAGAGGATGCATTCTATCCCTTCCTTGCATGGCAGCTTTTTGCATTATTCTTTGCTACACTTAGGAATGCCATTAAGTTTAACGGCGCAAGACAGTTTTCCTCAACTGGGGATGAACACGTTTTGCCTAAGCTGTCCGCGACTGGGCGGATTCTGCTCTTCTGTTTTTCTTTCGATGCTATATCGCCGTAGTTTTAAACTTTTTTGTCAAATTTTCTACTTCCACATTGGAGTAAAAATATGACAAAAACAATAACAAATATTTCTATTTTAGTTAATCTATACGCTATTTAATCAGAATTTTTGAGGTAATTTTGGGAAGGGTGTCTGCAGTACCAGAAATGTTGAGATGCATTGCTGTAAAAGACCTTGTGTCGAAGCAAAAGCTGTGATATGTACGTAAACATTGCAATTTTTTAGCTTTAGGCTTAAAAACAATACTTGTATTAATGGAGAGTGAAGTCTGTTAACAGACAAAAAATGTGATAAGATTAAAATAGATATTGAAATGTTTCAGTATCATGCAAATCTTAGAACAGTCAATATTTAATGACTTCCATAACCCGTATGTTTTATATGCGTAGATCAATGGTATTCAACCATTTTTCATTCGCGTACCCCCAGATATAATTTCTCTTCAACTTTGTACCTCCAAAGTCGGTGTATAATTCAAGTTTTACATAGTATATAATCTACATCTAAAATAAATTAAATAAATTACATTACTGATTATTCAGTGTTTATCATAAAATAATATATTTTTTTTAAATTTCACGTACCCCCTAAGATGTCTTCGCGTACCCCGATTATTCAGTGTTTATCATAAAATAATATATTTTTTTTAAATTTCACGTACCCCCTAAGATGTCTTCTCCTACCCCCGCGGGTACGCGTACCCCAGGTTGAATACCACTGGCATAGATCGATTATCAACAACCACACTTTCTACTTCACGTTAAAACAGTGCTTGAGTTTTGTTATAAAACCATCATCGCAGGTTCTAGTTACAATGAACCTCGCTAATATAGTTGAAGACGATAAAATTACAGAAAAAAGGAAACGATACATCACGACACTTCAACAATATTACAAAAAACTGTAATTTTTTTCACTGTGATATGAATTAATAAAAAATACTAATGCAAATTATCATTTAGAATTTTCTGTGTTAAAATTTATATAAAAAATGAACCTGGAAAAGAAAAGTATACAAATTTATACACATAATATACTGAAAACTATAACCGTGCAAAATTCAATTATTATAACTGCAAGTTCAAGTATGGTTAATATTTATAAATGTTAACAACTGAAGTTAGAAAGTAACCCATCTAACGACGTATTCTGGCATGATATCAAAATTGAAGATTATATGTCACTGTTACATAAATCAGAACAGAGATGGAGCTGTAATATATATCAGAAAGTTACAAACCTCAGAGACTACACATCAGAAGAACAAAAAAAAATATGCAGCTCTTCCTTCTGTACTTATTTTGTTGATAAATCTGTCCTCTTTTCAGTTTTCTTTGTAGTCTCCCCGACACTACATAGTCTGAGCTGCTGAAAAATTGTCATCAAATAAACTATAAATAAATTGTATTCTTCCAGTAACTTCTGATGGTTTCACTAGTCTCTCATTACCACAAATATCACAGAACAAAGCATCTTCAACGATAAATATTTCTTATTTAAATACCCTAGTAACGCTCAACGTAATATTTCGTTAATATTAATGGCTTAAAGTTGTGTGTCTTCTTTTACAGTGATAAGAAGGATGGAATTATTGATGGTGCAAACTTATCAACAGATGGCACTGTTTTCTCAAGCCCACCAATCAAAAGAGCCAAAATGATGGCAGCACCGTCACTTAATGAACGAGTGATGTTGTATGTCCGCCAGGAAACAGATGACGTGTATACGCCCCTTCATGTCATACCTCCCACAACACAGGGGCTACTCAATGCGGTTGGTACATACTCATAATTATGATAAAATATTGGTTGGGGGTAGACAACATTTCTTGAACTCGAGAGAACTAATTCCTTTATTTTCCTGTTTTGAGTAGTTCATATTTTTAGCTACAAGCCTATTACATCTGGAATTCTTGGGTAAAGATGACGTACATTTCTTATTTTATTTCCATAAAATATCTGCAAGCCAAATAAATAACATAGTTCTGTTAAGAATAAGTGCAGTGGACTCCCAGTCAATCGTATGGTAGGGTCGTTATTTGAAAATCTGGCTATTTCTTGATTACTTTGAGATACGATCATCATTGGCATTTACTAAGCTTAACAATGATTTGTCTATTACAGATACACCATAAAACAATAACTCTGAAATGTCTGTAATAATAATAATGTAACTTTAGTCATTAAATGTAATCAGTGAAATAATCTGTCAGCTAGGTAAATAGTAGAATGCATTCCTCATAAGAAAATTAAAATAAATAAACTTTTGATTACTACAATTACTGTAAATAAAAAAACTTGTGGGATAAACATCATTGACCTAGAGACCTGGTTAAGAGATCTTCAGTCAAGAGAGAGTCCACTGAACTTTTAGTGAGAAAGAATAAAAATATGGGAGAAGTATGCAAAAGTATGTGTCATATAAAATTACGCAATTGTATTGATTCACAGCCATATTCGAAAACTCTTCTATAAGGGAAATTGTCAGTGTCACTGCAACCTGTAAAACTAGGCATTAATTTTTATCAACATCAACAATAAACATTAAACAAATAATAGAAAATGTGATGTATAACCTAACAAAGCTCACGACACCACCCAGCACAATTTCTTCTACAGTTGGAAAGTCATTTTGTCGCCTGTAGAGTTCTTTGAAATTTTCTAACTGGACAGAGCTACTGTGTGACATGTTTAATAAAATTCTAAACTATATGAATTCATAAGAAAAAACAAATCTTTGTCTCATATTTCGTGTTCAGTATAACTTAGCGCATTCCAGTGTACAAAAATTCTGTAGTGCCTAGATCAAGACTCTGCGCTACACCCATTTCAATTATGTAAATATAGATCCAGAGGAGAAAGGAATCCCCCATTTCTTGTGTCAATTAACAGAAGAGACCTTCACATTTATTACAAATTTCTTCTTCTTCTTCTATGGCTCTCCAGTCCGTATTTGGTCCAGGGCCTCCTCGATTCTCCTCTTCCATTCGGTCCTCTGTTAGGTCCATCTGTCCGAGGCTTTGATTGAGGTTTTGAAACATCTTTCTTTACATGGTGCAAGGTTTATTACAAATATAACACCTACAAATGCAAGATCCATCAACTATAAATCAGTTCAGGCATTATATAAATTTAAAAATAAAGTGAAGTATTTGTATTTTGTGGTGAAGTTTAGTTTAAAACCAATTCCATGGAGCAGAGCCCTTTCTTAGAAGTATAGTTCCACAAGGACGAAAACAATTTTTCTTCCTTTCATGGAACATAAAGCTGAAAACCATGTCTACAATAAGGTATATTTATATGTACCTGCTGTTAGAATTTCTACACAAATATTAAATTATGTAACTGAATTACTAGCAAATGGTTACAGTTAACTTTAACCTTCTGTTACATATCAAAAGTTTCTGTATATAGTTTTAGGTGTTCCACTAAAAACGTTCTGATTCTGTATTAAAACAGCACAGCTTCTGCAAAGGAAGCAACAAAACAAAACAGAGGTTTACAAAAAAATAGTCCAATAATTGCTATAATTATTTTTTGCGTGGGGTACATAAGACAAGCAAAATGTGGTTCTGGTGTGAACAAATTTGCAAGGTGTCTCAAAGTAAAGTAAAGTTTGTCCCGCTTGGGGTGAGTGGAGGTATAGCTCCTACTGAATCTTGACCTCAGCAGTAAATTGAGGTGAGTGGTCAGCATCACGCCCCGATCTCGCTTTACCCCCAGGAAAGGACCCCGTTAGCCATTGGACAGGAGGCTGAGTGGGCCCCAGAGCCGGTCCGGACGCAGAGGCTACAGGAAAAATCCTTTGCCCCTGTCGGGGATCGAACTGTGGTCATCCAGCCCGTAGCCAGTCACTATACTGACTGAGCTATCCCGGCTCATAAGGTGTCTCAAAGTACAATTATTTATTTGATGCTGTTGAGTAAGGACAATAGTATACCTATTTATAATTTAAATATATAATTATATAGATTTATTTACAGATAAATCAAAACAGTACTACAGTTTTGTGATACAAGAAACATATGGTAGGGATGGCAGGTATCAGTTACTTGATATGTTATTAAGGTATCAGCATTACCAAGTACGAGTAGTCTACAGTGAAATGTAGAAGAAATTTACCCACAAAACTGAATCCACTGCAGTTGATGACCCCAGTTTCAGTTTCTGGATATGGCTGTTATAACACAATAAAATTATTTGTTAACGAACACAGTGTTTGAGCACCTTTATGCTGTGATGGGTAAGTGTTTGCTTGCTTCTCCCTCTTGTGTATTTGCATGTGTGTATGAATAGACATTATGAATGTTCGTGACTAACACCAGCAGAACTTGCATGCATATAATAGACTTCATCAGTGGAGAGCCAGTTAGTGGCGTTGGCAGTTATATCATGCTCTGGAAAACAAATAGGAATGAACACCTTTTATCCTATCCAAGGAAAGGAAATATGAGAAATAAATTTAACCTTCCAAATTAAATGTGAAAAATAAAAGGAGATACATTCTTTATCTGTATCAAATCCATTTGCCTATAAATCATTACCAGTAACTATTAATCTGTTTTCCTTATTTTCCAGATTGAGAATAAGTACAAAATTTCTACTTCAAGCATTAGTAACTTGTATCGAAAAAACAAAAAAGGGTAAGTTTTGCTCTGAAAAATTGTCTATTTGTTTTTCCCTTCATAGTTAAGTTATCATAACTTGTGACAGGAACATTATCCATAAGGAAAATGTACAACTATCCTTCAAGTAGAAATTTTGGACAAACGAGATTTACTAATAATTATTTAACTTACTCTTAGAAGAATAACAAAGCTTCTACTAACATTTTAACAAAGCATCTGCACTAATTGTCCCGCACTGTAGCCGCGCGGTCTGAGGCATCATGCTTCGGACCGGTGACACAGAATGCGCACTGGTTTGAGTCTCGGGGAAAGAAATTTCCCATGAGATTTTTGACCGGTGTATGGGACCGGTGCCAACCCAGCATCGTGAGGAAATTGGGGAGCTACAATGAGTAGCATAATCCGGTCAGGAAAGCTAGCAATGGCCGGGGCTTCGTCGTGCTGACCACACGTCAGCCTATATATGGTTGGATGATCGTTCACCTCTGCTTAGGCATGTGAACGTGAGGCCAGCAGTCAAGCTAGTCGGTTTTGGCTCTCTGGAGCTGTTACGCTATGGATTATCTGCACTAATCATTCATATGGTAGATAAATGATAGATTCTAGAATAATTTGTGTAGACTTGATAGTTGGGCTTGTTCATACAATCAGTATTTTAATGTGAATAAATGAAAGAATGGTAGATAATGTTTTGTCTTATATAAACAATTTCTTTGATCATAGTATTAATTATTGTTACCCCCCTCTGTTTTCAGGATTATAGCCAAAATTGACGATGATATGCTCAAGTACTACTGTAACGAAGACCTCTTTCTTCTGGAGATAAAACAGGTGGAGGGCGAAGATGCATTTGAAGTCACACTCATTGAACTGATAGATCATTAGCAGCAGTAAATAATGTTGTCTCATCAATATCAGTCTTTCATTGCGATGCCATGGGGGCAAAATATTTCAGTGCGTTCACACTATCATTATGAGTATAACTCTTACTATATCATAATAATTATTGTTATTTTATGTTAAAGTGAAGATTAAAATATATGTTCTAATAAATTTATCACGTTTGTCCTCTAGTACGCAAGTGAATAAATGTTTTATTGACAACATTGAAAATAATGGTTATTGTTTATATTTATTTTTTATACAATGAAACCAATATTAAAATGACCGTGTATATGAGACCAAGTTCAGAAAATTGACTCGGAACAGAATCAAGTGAATGCGTGAATGATGACAGAGTGAACGAGTGTATTATCTGCTCTTCTAGTGAGTTGATATTGAAAAGACTTCTACCATATTGATGTTGTCGAGAAAAACAGATAAAAGTGGCAACTTATGATAATAAAATGCAACTTGTTTTGGAGAAGAAACATTAGAATTGGAGGGAATGTTTTGTAAAAATATGGTAAAGATTTTATATATATATATATATATATTATATATATATATATATATATACACACACGCGCACACGCACACACACACACACACATACATATACATAAACCTGCCCCATCTGTAAAATTAGTTAATGTCTACTGAATTTAAATTTAAATTCTTCTAACATGATTACCTTTTTATGGATGAGGAACTTTAGAGTTCTAAGAATCAATTGTGAGTTTTATGTTATATTTGTTGTGGTTTTAGTTTTAAAGAAACCTGTTTCAGGGTTTGTTGATCTCAAAAATGTCAGAGAACATTTAAAAAAGCACAAATAAACACAACTGAAAGCTTTAGCTTTGTTTCCCAGTCAAGGAAAGGTCTTGGCTAGAGATGTGTGACATATGATGGGATTTTTGATGGCAGCCACGTACATTTAACCATCTGACGGCAAACAAAACGTCATTCTCAGCAACGCAGAAGTCCTCCCCAATATTGTGACTTGCAAGAAGATCCTTTAGCCTTTGTACTGATCTTCAGCTGAAAGTGAGGTATCATTCAGCGAAAGTTGCTGCAGTTGTTCAGAGTTGTGATCGATATTGGCTTCGTACTTTTTAATGCCCATAGACGAAGTAGAAATGATTATTTTAGCAAATTATTGCTCAGTGTAACTGGTATTTCGCGAAGTCACATGTTTCAGCAATTCATGTGAACACTATAAAGTATCCATTGCCTCCAACATATAATGTGTCGAGGAATACTTTATTAATGCAGAATAAGTCAAAATTTCAATGCAACTTTATTGTCTGATAATAAAAGCCATATCTTTTGACTGCTTGATAAAAAGACTAACTCTGTCTTCCAGTAAGTATATAGTAAATATTATTAGGATATTGTTATTATCTTAGAAGATAGTTTCCTATATTGTTAATATACTAATAGGGAACCATGTACTGGAGAAATTTTTGGATGTTGTTAGAAGTTAATTTTGACATGTTATAATAGTAGCACACAATTTTCATTAGGCAATTGTGTTTGGTTCATTATTGTTACCAGTACATAGGTCACTGTGATAGACAAAAGACATTAAAATTACTATCGGTGTGATAATTTCAAGCTAATTTGAAGCAATAATTTCTTCCTTTAACAGTAAGAGGAAATTAGGTTATGAAATGGGCACTTGAATGTAAACCAGGTATAAAGCTCAATAAGAATAGCAGATATTGTACTTAATGTCTATTGGATCTTTATTATATAATTAAATTTGATAAAAAAGAATTTAAAAAATAAGGAAAATTAATTTCATCTGGAATTTTTTTTATAAATTTATGCATTTTGGAAAATTAAGATTGCAGAGATATCCTTTCAAATAAACCCCGCTGGTTGATTGTTGCGTACCTGAGTTTCTGTTGTGTAGCATTCCAAATAATCAACAAAAATTTGTTCTCAGAAGGATTACCAAGTATGTAATAACAGTAGACCTAATTATCATCGTTTGATCGCTTTTTGTTTCACTGTATTAACTAACAGCAAAACCTCAATGTTAATATTCATTTCAGAAATGAAAATTAAGGTATCATCATTTAAATATATATTTATATATTCTGGTGGTGATGGTGAAGGTTGTTGTGAAAAAGGCTGGTCTCCAAACTCCTTGTTTGTGTTTTATACGAGTATAATATAAAAGTTATGTGAGTGCATGTGTTTTGTATATTAATTGTGCGTGCCCTAATTTATTGAGTAGTACTTTTGTTCCCCTTTGTGTGTTGCCCATTTTTTGTTATTGTTACAAACATTTTGATACATTTATATTTTCATTTAAGATATTTTAGTATCAATTATTTTCATGGGTAACAACAGAGATGTGTTTGTATGTTTTGTAATGTATCTCTCAAAAATATATTATCTAAGCTTATATTAATCTCACAGACTCTACTGAATGAAGCCATTGCATTTATACTGATGGAAAATATTTTAAGCATAATATTACATCAAAATTGTATCATCTAGTTTAACAGAAATTAAATTAAACTTGATTGCAATATTCATGTGCCAAAAAAGATATGTATCTGTGGTAGTGTTAGATTTAACAAACGGACTAGAGCAATACAAAATTCAACTGTAAGATATAAAAACATAGAAATCTTATTGTAAGAATAATACATTATTTTATTTCTTCTACTCTTTGGTTACATTTTTGAGAGGTGCATTGCTACATTAATTAATTACCTGTACATGATATCAAATAAGTTACTTTATTAACAACAGAAATTAAATCTTCCAAGTCTCTTTGTTAAATCACAGTTCTCTGCAATTTTAAAGAATGGCTGAATTTACTACTTGTTTCCTCTTTCACTGATAGAAAACACCTAAGAATTCTAATACTCTAGAATCACAACTAAGAATCTGGGGGTAAGAGAGATCAGAAAATGTATCTTTGCATAGCACACCTATACAATTCATTCAGAACAAAAAAAGCTAATTTTCTTGGAAAATTTGCACCTCCAACCTTTGAAGTATTTTCCTTGTAATGGGAAGTAAATTACTAAACAAGCAGTTGGAGTTCTAGAAATTTACATTTCCAGTATAGAAAAATGTATTTAAAAAGTTGAGTTAAATAGCTACTAAGTAGGAAGAAATTAAATATGAAACAGCAATGTTTTTTTCCTTTGGACTGTTCTCACTGTTTTATTGAACTACTACACTGAACAGCAATATTGTAATTTTGGGATAACGAAATAAATACACTCATGTTTTAATTGAATACCCTTCCATGCTTGTAAGCCTAAATTAGTTGCTCAGCGGCTTTTCTAACAATGATAAAGAAGTTTCCTCTATGGGTTTGTGTTTGTTATTTCTTTTTATTCTAATAAGTAAAAGCATGCTTGCAATTTAAACATTTCAATTATCTATTTTGAAAATAAGTGCATTCATTCTGCAACAGAACATTGGTATTTTCTTAAATTCATATCATGGAAACTTGTAAAAATAAATATTATTTCTAGATTCAGAGGTTATTAGTTACACCTGAAAATTCATTAACATGAAGAGGATTTATCATGATCAGAAACTGTCACTGGTATTTGGATAAATAATTCAGTTCTCTGTACAAATTTAAATAACAGATAGCTGCACTGCAAATTTTTGGACTTTCTTTATAATAATTCTAATTACTCATTATGAGTACATTACATGACAGCAAAGATTTAGTTTAGTTAAAAGAAAATTACTTGAACTAATGTAAATATTTTTATTTCTACTCATATCTATTCCTTTAATCAAAAAGTATATGAATAAATAAATGTATGTGCTGTTGTGGTAGAATGTAAGTCAAGATTGAGCAATGTACAACAAAGTTGCAATGGTCAGAGCTGCCAAGCAGCAAATGAATGTTCACCATTATGTTGACTTCTTTATTGTTGAGAAAAGAACAATGAACAATCTTTTTCAAATGGGAGTGCAATTATTCTTTTTTGAAAACATATGTAAAATAAAATCCGTTACATTATAAAATCTGTCATTGAACAACAATCATTTCCATTATATTTTACACTATATAATTTCTTACATTAATCAGTGTAACAGTCTCCACTTTTTTAAAAACAAACATCATTTGCCATTATCAGAATATTATTAGCAATATTGAAGATTGAGCATCTAAGAGTTTCCATGTGATAAAAGGAGGATGTGTGAAAGTTGTGTGCTGTGAATTCTATTCCTTTTCAGTATATATGAAGCCTTCACTTTCTTCATCCATTAATGAGGTCTGTATTTTCATATACAGTATATAAAAAAATTAAGCTTAACAACAACTGTCATGCTTTTTGATATGCAGTACATGTGGTTTTATTATAAGAACATTGTATTTAGATTAAGGACCAATAACTTTGGCTCCACACAAATCAATCAAATGATTTGGTTTAATTTCATATTTTGAAGGACTCAGTCAAATTGTAATTACATGTTATGGTATTGTGGAAACCTTCGGTTGCTTTTTTTATAATTATAGTTATTTTTTGTACCATGCTTAGGTGCAAAATAAAAAAAATATATTAAGCATAAAGTGAGTGTGTATTTATGATAAGAATTATTTTAAATCTTAAGTGGTCCAGTATTACATCAGTCATAACTGTGTACAAGGAAATACACTTAAATAGTATTTCTGTGTTAGGGAAATAGACTAAAAACCTGAATGTTCACTATTTTAATTGAGGTCTTTCACAGTTTACATAATTATCCTGTGGTTCTAGATGACTTAACATAAAACAGAAACATAATAGGAACAAGAATAAGATATCACAAAACACACTTGGTTTTTCAATCATTATCCTGCATTTTATTTGTCATTAATGTGTGGGCACTGGTGAAACTAGATTTTGAGGTTAGGGGTTAAACTTCATCACAAGGTCCATCACTTGTGGGGTGACCATTCAGTCCCCCTTCCACTGTTATATCTTTGAGGGTAACAGAAATTGTATATTGTTCCTTGAATTTAAGTCCTTCAGTCAGTTTTAAAGAATTGAAATCTCTTCAAATTCAACTATCTGTGCCTTGAATAACTATGTTTTCCAATTGATATAGC